CATGGGCAGGCGGACGTACGACCGGACTAACATGCATAAATCGACTCAAAAAGTGATTTTATGAAGATCCTCAAAAGTATCTATGGGTCTATCTCGCTCCGATTTCCATGTTACAAACAAATGGACAAAGACATAATATCCTTACCACTATGTGGTGTAGGGTATAAAAATTATTTTCTCATATTGCTAAACTTGTCAATAAATCAGTAACTGCCTTTATTTAAATGTATAATTTGAAGAGTATGTTGTGGCGGGTATTTTTTATTAAAAACAGTAACCCCTAAAATATGCTTTAATTATAATATCTATTCTAAAATTCTTATGTGATGAAAAATGTGCACTATCCACCGCTAGATGGTGCGTCACGTTTGCTATAAAATATTGGAACTACACAATAAAAGAGGGCACGATAAGTAGTCAATGGAATTTTCATCGACGATTTTCGAAGAAGTGGGCAAAAGTGTCTATTTCGTATCTGACTTAAATCTGATATAAATATTAGAATGTGACAGATTTTTATAATTACTTTTTCCTCTAGTTTATACGCGATAATCGTTCGAAAATGTTCAAATGCACCGAAGTATTCCACTTCATCTAATACGGATAACAAGTTAAAAACTATCAGTCGGTTTTGCCGACAGATGTATACCCCCAGCCAATGTCTGTTTGTTTACATATATATTAACTTGCGTTATGATTATTTAAGCTTTTGATGCTTTATGGGAGGAGTTTTCGAAAAGATTGGTCAATATTGTTCATTTCTTATCTAACCTAAGTCTTATGTAAATATTACACGTTGCCAGATTTGGACATATCTCACTCTATATGAGATATGCGATATTTTATACAGTGGACCGAAGTATTCCACTTCTTGTAATACTGATAAAAATATTGGATTGTGTAAATTTTAAAGAAAATCGAACACTTATTTACAATTATATAGGAGTACTCTTTAGTGAAACGTTTAGCCAGAAGGAATGAACCGAAATAAATATTGGTCTATGGTTAACAGACATATTGAGGTACACGAAGTTTGATGAACATCGCTGACTTGTTCACAGTAGATATCTGGTTGAGCGAAATATTTAGATAAAATGTTGGCCAGTTGTGGGAAATGTACCAGAAGAATTGAACCATATATATTCCATTTTCAAACCAGGTAGTGCTGGAAGAAATATTGAAATGTGTGAAGTTTAGATTAGTTGTTTATTTCACATTTTATAAGAATTTTGGTAATTCTAAATTTTGACACGTTGGCGTTGTGGCGGAGGTATCACAAGGAGTGGTCCTATATATTCCATCTTTGCACCACATATTGTTTTAGTAGATATATTGGGATATTGGGAAACTCGAAGAGAATGAATGTGCAATTTACATTTTAGGATTGCTTTTTATACCCTCCACTATTCTATGGAGGGTATATAAACTCTGTCATCCCGTTGGTAACACCTCGAAATTCTCATGTCAGAACCAACTTAGTATACATATTCTTGATCAGCGTAAAATTCTTAGTCAGATAGAAGGCTAAAGTTTTGCACACATATGTATTTTGTCAGTAGGCAGGTTATGTTCGTAAATGGGCTATATCGGTGCATGTCTTCATATAGTCCCCTTATAACAAATCTCCCAATATTCGGTATTTTGATGATTTTAGAGATATTTTTTACCCGAAGTCTATGTTAGCAAATTGTCTATTCAGGTCGAGGTCTTCGTATAGCTCCCTAAATATCGGTACCTCCCAATATTCGGAACATTATTCATCGAAATTGTTTCAAATTTCGTATTTGAAGTTCCTAATGGGTACTTCAGTATATGACAAAAAATTGTCTTTGAAGGTCCAGGGCCTCAGAGCAGAAATACATAAAGCGCATATTTGGCTGGCTTAAGTCATCGGCTGGCTTCTTCGTAGATGAACAAAGGAGCCTAGGGCCAAAATCGAACTATGTCAACCTAAAACTACTTTGTTCATGTACGAAGAAGCAAGCCGATGACTTAAGCCAGCCAAATATGCTCTTTATGTATTTGCAGCCTAAGTCATAGGCTGGCTTCTTCGTAGAGGAATAAAGGGCTTTCAGGTTGACTTAGTTCGATTTTGGCCCAACGCTCTACTGTTCTTTTCCGAAGAAGCCAGCCTATGGCTCAAGCCAGTCAAAAACGTTTCATGTATTCTCAGCTTTAATCTTCTATTGTATAAATGCACTATTACTGGGTTTTCAAACGCCGAGTACGTTTTATTGAGAATAGAGATTTTTTTTGTCGTTTTAAATTTAATAACAATTTAAATAACAAATTTTGCTTAAGGTTGTAATAAAACGTTTTATGTATTCTTACCTTTAAACTGGCTTAAGTTGTCGGCTGACTTCTTCGTAAAAGAACAAAGGAGTTCTAGGTTGGCTTAGTTCAATTGCGCCCATAATTTATGCTTGCGCATCCTACGCTTCTTTGTTCATTTACAAAGAAGCCAGCCGATGACTTAAGCCAAGTTCACAGTATATGGTTTTCATTTCCTTTAAAATAAAAAAAAAATTTCAGAGATATAGAAATAAAATTATTAGTTTCTGTAAATGTAATTGACTGTCACTGCATTTTTATCGCAGAGGCATCTTCAATTTGGTTAAAAAAAATAAGTAAAACGAAATTGTAACAAATTTCATTATTTTTGTCCGAAAGGTAATTCTTCTGTTCTATATAGCATCTGACACCGTCTTATTGAAAGTACATGTCATGCAAGAAAGCTTTTCCATTTTGGGCAAAAGATTGGATATCTTCGCTGAGTAACGCTCACCATTCACATTTACTTTACGATCTTTGAAGAAGTACGGTTCAATGAGGCTACCAACTCATAAGCCAAACTGTGGCTTATTCAAATTTAATGATTTCCAAGCGTTCTTCGTTTTATGACGATTTATGGTTATATTATAGACCGAACTGAAGATGTGTCACAATGAAACGTAAGCTGTTTAAACATATTAGCTATAAACCATGGTAGAAGAATACAGGTAGTCGCATCGACACTGCTGCTGGGACAATGAACTGTCAACTGTCGATTTTGGAATTGCAAATTTTAAATGAAAATTTATTAAAATTTGTAAAAATTTTTGAAAAATTCATATTTTAACAACCTCTGATTTGCGTCGTATAAAAAACATCTAAAAATCCACTTATTTTTCATAAAACATTTTAAAAATTTTGACATATCAATGTTCCCAAACGTTGATGCATCTACCTATATTCTTCTACCAACACTGGCTCGTACGGCAGCGATATTCTCGGCCGATCGCCTTGGTCGACTTTTATATAGACCTTCTAAACACTGGCTCGTACGGCAGCGATATTCTCGTCCGATCGCCTTGGTCGACTTTTATATGGCCTCTTCGGATTTGAAAGAGCCTTACCAGTCGTAAATTTTTCGTATAAACGCTTAATGGTGTTCTTAGAAGGCGCACTTTTCGCATTTTTTAATGTTTTAAAAGCACGTTGGATTTTCAAGATTGACTTCTTCTGTTGAATGTAAATTTTAATTATTTCAGAGCGCTCGCGTGTCGTGTATTGGTTCATGGTAAAAATCTGCTTGGACTGACGCTTCAAACGCGGTATGTCCTTAAGCGATGTGACATCTCTGTCAAAAGTTATGGCGTTGCCAGATGGATTGCCAGAGAATTGGACCTACAGCTAACAACTATACATTCAGGAAAATGATATGTAAGCATTAACATTAAATATTTTAAGAAGAATTCTTCTGCATTTTCGATTTAATAATCCAAATTCCAATTTTTTTTTTTTTAAATTAAAATAATTTATTGAAAACTAATTATTTTGTTTACTTTTTTGGACACATAACTCTGACACATGTATTATTTACAAAAACAAATTTGAATTTGGTTGTTGTTACAATTGTTGTACAACAACACTTGCTGTTGCCTGTATTATTTTACCATGGTTAACAGGCAACAAAATGTACAAATTTGGAATAAAGCAATATTGTCAATGAATCTTGGTTTCAATTTTGTGGAAAAAGCCAATATTTCATTCATGTTTTGTGAATTTTCCCCAATATATATTTTTTTTGTGGAGAAAAATGCAAAATAAACCAAACCAATTGTTGTATATAATTTATCATTTATGTATATTTAAAAGTCCATTTGACATAATAAGGTTCCAGTACAGAGTTGCATTTTTCCAAGTTTCTTTGAAGTTGAGCCATGGGTGTATCTAAAAAACAAGATTAACCCAATGGATGCAATGCCTTTTGTTGGGTTAACTTACTTTAAGAGAATTTATTTGAAATATAAGAAATAGATATGACAATTTTGATCCAAATCCAGTGTGTTAACCCATTTATATGTAAATGTACTAAAATAGATTCAGTGGGTTAATCTTCAATTGTATAAATGTGCTATTACTGCGTCTACAAAGACAGGACGATATCTTTTGTAAACGCTGAGCAAGTTTTATTGAGAATAGAGTTTTTTCTTCATATTCAATTAAAAAAAATCTTTATAAATTCATATTTTTTACCAATATAAAAAAAAAATTGTTCTTATACTTCGTTCTTCTCTCTCAAAAAATCACTTTTATTTCCTTAATCTTAATAAAATGTTGTACAATAAATCGTACATATCTTGCGAAAACACTAAAAGCAAATATTACTACTTAAAATATATATTTTTTATTCCTTACAATTAAGTTACTTATATTTTAAAATATATCATAAATCTAATTTAGCTGATTTCATTTCGCGTCTTTTTTATTGCTACTTTTGTCTTACTACGAATCACCCTGTGATTGCCAACCCAACATAACCCATGTAGCAGTCAATTTTTTTTACAACGCTGTTACCTACGCTGTTTTTGACAACTGTACAATATTATAATTTTCACAGAATAATTTAGAAAATCTCAAGATTTTTTCATTAAAATACCATGAATTCAGCCACAAAAGTAAGTTTTTTTGATCGGAATTTAACAAATAACATCGTCTGCAGTGTTTGCCAATAAAATAACTTCTAAAAAAATTTGTGCGGGAAAACTCGACGACGACTCACTCATGTCACACACCACAACACCAAAACAACTCTCGCTCGGCAAGTGTCAGATCGTCTGAATTCCTTAGGGCGGTCAAGAGGAAAGAACGACAAAAATTGTTTGCAAACAAACTAATGAATTTGTTTAAAAAACAATCGTCCGTCCATAACAGGCACTTCGAGTGGTACAGGGCTTCTGCGTGAACTTCTACCGCAGAATGGGTATCCCCTAGGTGGGCTAAACTCTTCTATAACAAAAGGACGGACATTGGAGATTTGTTTGTTTACAACCAGGAACAAGAAGAGATTTGCATACCAGTTGTTTTGCTTTATTTTGATAACGAATTTTATTCGATTTGTTTACATGAATGTTGTTGTTGTTTTATCAATTCCATTTTAGGTGGGTGAAATATTCACTGCTGCTGGTCAGGCTTTTAGTCGCTTAGGAGATTTAACTATGCAATTACATCCAAATGCAGAATCACCAGCGGGGTATGTATTTTTGTTCTATTTATTAATTTTATCTTTAATTTTATGTAAATATTTTAAATGATGTTTATGTATCTGAAATATTTTTAGAATTATGTTTAGAACTGTCTTAAATAGAGAAAGGATTACATGAGTATTAAATTTATTGTACAGAAATATTTAAAAAAGACATGCTATGGTCCGATTTGCTCGTTATTTAATATACCTATTAATAGTAGACTCTAATATTCGTGATTTCTGCTGAAATATATAAAAGATATTCAATCAAGAAGAGTTAGTCCAATTCTTGGCCAACTTCAAAAATTGAAATTGAATTGAAAAACTCATAATAGTTATTAAACAAGGTCGATACGAAAATAAACTAATAATTTTCGTCTTGTTTTGAAGTATTAATTCCAGGAGCAACCAGAATTTAAAACATTTGGAATATGTGAAATTAAGTCATAATATTGTATATACTTTGTTTTATATGCAATGTATTTTATAGAGATGTTATTAATTTTCAATTTTTTATTAAAATTAATTCCAAAAACAATAGATTTTTATTTGAATAGATTTTCAAAAAAAAAAAGTTTTTTTATACAATACCGTCAGTAGAAAATATGGGTCTAGCGTCTTAGGTCGTCCAGCCATGCCTTATTCACAAGACAACTATAATTAAAAATGATTTGTATAAAAAAGATTACACATTTGTACATCAATTATACTAAAAAATTACAAATTTGTAAAAATTTTAGAAAATATTTGTCAACGTAGCTTAAGATCTTAAATTTGATGTTAGTCGTAATGTAGAATACAAAAAACTGGTTATAAAATAAATTCAGTGCTTAGTTCTTAGGTTGGTTGATGGATGTTCATCTACAGCTCGTTCATCGTAGGAAGTGGCGATAGGAAAGGGAAGAGGACGTATTTTGGTAGTAGGAGGTAGAATATGATTTTAGCAATAGAAAGAACGTTAGGGTTTCTACCTCCCAAGTACCAAGTAACTTATGTCTCCAGTTTGATAACATGGGACATTTGCATAGTAGCAGCTCAAACGTATATATTCTTCATACTCGGAAGCCTATAATAATCTGGAGCAGTTATGTTTAGAGGTCATATTCTGATACTGCCATGTCAATATGCCCAGAGGTTCTTCTCGAGCTAAACGACCAGATGGTCTTGCATCCAGTTTTCAAGTGTCATCTCCATAGATCCAACAAAACACAAATTCAATTCCATTTCTGGGCTGGACTCAAGATTCATAGGATAATAGGAGTCAGAAAAGTTTAAATGAAGGCTCTTCCTCGGCCCGGTATATAGAACACTTGCTGGAAGACGCTCAGTCATCTCCTTTTATTTATTTTCTTTTGCCTTGGGATGTATCTAGATTTCTGATTTGTTCGGAATGGCTGATCCTAATAAACCTTGCATCTACTTTCCAAGTACATCTCTATAGATCCAACAAAGCACAAAGTCAGTAAAGTCCATGAGGATAATATCACAAATTGTATTAATATGGGCAGTTATTACCTTTTTCCGAATGCCATTCCTCGGCTGATATCGCTTCATTGTTGTTATCCCGAAGAATACGAACAAGTTTCATAAGATAATAGGAGTCAGAAAAGTTAAAATGAAGTCTGATTTATAGAACTCTTCCTGGAAGACGCTCAATCATCTCCCTTTATTAAATTTTGTTTTTACATCCCATCTCTTTTTCTGATTTTCACCGAGTGGCTGATCCTGATAAACCTTGTCAATAAAATAACAGTAGGAAGGCTATTATGCTATATGTGGATGGATTCCTATCCATTTACCACCTAAATAAGTCCGCTTTGTTAACACATTTCTCTCATTGTTTTGGACTTTTAGAAGAGCCTTTATGACACCCTCAGACCCTCTTTCAAGTGCAAATAACAAATTTTAATAAAGATGTAGATAAAACTGCCAAGCCAAGCTCACATTATATGAAACTTATATGGAAGTAGTATTTTTCTAAACATTAAAAGTAATTTTAAGAAAATCTATAGAACATTCAGGACACATCAGTCAAACATTTGGTCAAAAATCTTTACCAAAATTAAAAAGAAAAACCTCAAAGTTGTTTGAAAACGAAGAAGAATTGAGCTGAGCTGAATACTTAGGCCTACCAAAAAAAATTTCTCCCACCAAATGTTATAATCACAGCAGAATTTCAGATACATAATACAAATACAAATTTTCACAATATTTTATACGAATATAAAACCTATGAAAAAACTAATTCTTATTTTCTGTTCTCTCGCTATGTCCGTCCATCATTCCACAATACCTACCCTTCAACTCTCTGTTGAAATATACTCTGCAAACTCGGGAATTCCCATTTGAAAAATCTTACAGAAAATGGACTGATGAAGAAATTGATATGCTGCATGCATCAATAATACGATTCTCAGATGATTTAAATAAAATCAGTTTAAGCATAAAAAATAGGACAGTGTAAGTTGAAAATAAACCTAATTAGCCTCTTAACCTCTCACAGGGATATAGCGAGAGGGCATTTTCACATATTATTAACAATAGAGATGACTAACATTACATTTTGCATCTTTCTTTTTCTTCCCATTGGCAGGACTCAAATCAGACAGGCATTAAAGAAGAAAGCTTTTGAAGATGCCGGTATACCAGCGAAACAAGTACCAATGCAACAGGTTCAGCATGTGGTACAAACGGTGCAGCAAATTTCGCAAACAACGACGGTAACGCACCAACATCAGTCACAACAGCAACAACAACAGCAGCAGCCGCAAACATTGCAGATACAGCAGCCAACACATCAGATTTTGAAACAACATATTGTACAGCAGCAACATCAGCCATCGCAGCAGCAACAACAACAGCAGCAGCAAACTGTAATTGCCACGGGAGTGTTAAATGCACAGCAAACATCTCAGCACCATCAGACCCAGCAACAGCAGCATCATCAAACGACAACGCAGCCCCAAACGGTGCACATACAAAATATACAACATATTGTACCTTTACAACAATTATTACAACAGCAACAACAATCATCAACAACCTCAACACCTACACAAATCATTCAAACAGCGCCTAAACAAATTATAATTCAAGCATCGCCACACAGTGCAACTTCACTTGGAGGTAGTGGTGGAGGTGGTGGGGCAAGTGGTGCAGCCGCCAGTATTGTGAACTTGAATAATGTAACAACAGCAAGTTCACCCCAATTGACCCAGCCACAAATTGTTCACTTGCAGCCGCAACAATTTCAGCAATTACAACAAGCTCAAGCGCAACATCAACAACAACAGCAGCAAACACATATTTTGCAACCCACCCATGCGAGTATTGCGCCAACTAGTGTAACGCTACAGCAGTTCCAGCAAATACAAGCCTCCAAAGGTATTCTAACTGTGCTACAGCATCCCCAGCAGCAACAACAAGCGGCAACGGTGGTCACATCTACAGGCGTTACACTTAACAATGCTGCAGCAACAACAAATGTGCTGGCATCGACCCCATCTTCAGCAGCCACATCATTGAACACAAACTTAACCAATGCATTATCTACCCCGCCTACAGCTTCTACGGTAACAGTAACCGAGAATATTGTTTTACAACAACCCACTAACAGCACAGGCGGTGGGGCCCAAATGGTAGGCGGTACAATTTCATTGTCCTCGGGCCACAACGCTGCCGTTACCACCAATGCAATGTCCCCAACGGTTACCAACAATTTGGTAAGCAACTCTACAAATGCGGCATTGGTAACGCAGTCAACCACAATAGTATCGCCTGGATCAACATCCGTTGTTCCCAGCCCAACTACCACCATGGCTGTAGCCACCACAGGAACCAGTGTGGCCCTGAAGTCATCCGGTCCCGATGTTACGATGACCTTGAATCGCATTAATACCGCGGAACATGAAGTTGATGTTGAAGAGTGTTTGCCCGGAGATGTCGTTAAGTTGGACTTTGCCGGCGAAGAAGTGGCCGGGTGAAATTATACTTCAAAAAGTATACGGGCGTTACAACGAGGATCAACAACGTCGCCGCTACCATCAACCCTAGCATTAACATCCACAGTCAGTACATCAACGCTTCAACAATCACCGCCAACATCAGTAGTATCATCCCATCAGCAACAACAACAGCAGCAGCGACTTTGTTTAGATCAACAGCCAGAACGTCATTTATCTTCAACTGTGGATAATTTAGAATTAGCCAATGTTATGCAGCATAACGTTGTAGTTACAGATATCGAAGAAGGAGAAGAAGTAATAACCGGCACCAATTGTCATGCCACAGATGTTATCGAAGAAGATTTCTACTTTTGAAAAGAAAAAATTCCACCCTCCTCCTTCCTCCTAGTTGTCATTGAAATATTACTTCCCCACAAAGTAAATCTGCTTCCCATTATTTTTCAAAAAAAAGTAACCAAAACAAAACAATTTATCACTGTTAATATTTTATAAAATTATTCTCATAAAGTATGTGTACTTTTAATCGAGGTGAAGAAACAAAAACAAATTACAACAGATAATTCATTTTTCCAAAAAAATACTTGGTTTCCCCCTTTTAAAATAAAATAGGTTTTCATTTTGAACATTTGAATTATATTTTTTGTTTTATTTTCCAACCCCCTCCAAATTCCTTTCCTTTTCTCCTCCCAATGGACTTTTTTCTTTCGATTTAAATTTATAAATTTTTTAATTAAAAAATACATACGTTTATTTTTAACGAAATAAATCATTTAAAAGTTATTTAAGAGAAATGATAATTAAAATCTATAAAATTAACAGAAAAAAAGGTTAAAAAATTAAGAGAAACAAATGTGTTTTAGGATCTTTAATTAGTGTATAAAAGTGTACAAATTAATAAACAAAAAGAAAAAATAATAATGAAAAATGTGTGCTTTGTTTTTGTGTAAAGGGGGAATCAAAGAAATTAAAAAACAAGTTAAAAAGCTGTAAGGCCGGGCCGAATTTTTAATATCCTCCACCATTTGTAACGAATTTGCCAATCCTCAAAAACTATAAATTCCGTTAAAAATTCTGTTAAAATCTTAAAAATACCGAATATAGCTTTTTTAAATTGGGGTTTATACCACGACATGGCCCTGCATAGGTAACTTTTGTCATAGGCCATTACAATATTTAAATGCGAAATTTAAAAAGAAATCGGTGAATAATGTCGCTAAAATCATCAAAATATCGAATATTGGGAGGTACAGTTATATGGAGCTATACGAACACGTGGACCTGCACAGACAATTTTTTTGTCTTAGGCTGTAGTATCCATTGCGAACATCAAATACCAAATTTGAAACAATTTCGGTGAATAATGTCTCTAAAATCATCAAAATAGCAAATATCAGGAGGTACCGTTATATGGGGGCTATTCGAAGACGTGTACCTGCACAGAAAATTTTCTGTCTTAGACTGTATCATCCATTACGAACTTTAAATACCGAATTTGAAACAATTCCGGTGAATAATGCCGCTAAAATCATCAAAATACCGAATATCGGGAGGTAAGGTTATATGGGGGCTATACGAGGACGTGGACCTGCACAGACAATTTTCTGTCTTAGACTGTAGTATCCATTACGAACTTTAAATACCGAATTTGAAACAATTTCGTTGAATAATATCGCTAAAATCATCAAAATACTGAATATCGGGAGGTACCGTTATATGGGGGCTATACCAAAACGTGTACCTACAGGACCCATTTTCAATACCAAAAGTCCTGCAGACATAATATACATTTGAGTAAAATTTTATCAATCTACTTCATTTCGTTCGGAAGCTATAGTGATTTCCACAGACGGACATCGCATCGGACATAGAATTTTATGCTGATCAAGAATATAAATACTTTGTGGGGTCAAAAATGTATATTTTGAGGTGTTACAATCGGAATAACAATATATATATATATATATATATATCCGTTTGTAACACATCAAAATATACATTTATATATATATATATATATATATATATATATATATATATATATATATATATATATATATATATATATATGATCTAAGAGGGAACTTTATTCGAGAATAGTGCGATTTAAACTCGAAATCTAATTTAGATTATTAAAACCATTAGGTCGACATGACTGCTAGAGCTACAAACTTAAAAAAACACAATTGTTTTACCATTTTCTAAATCTGTTTTTAATTATCTGTAAAAACAAATTTTTCTCTTCCACTTTGTTGGACACGATTCGTAGACTTTTCTTCTTTGCAATGTCAGTTCAAGATAATTTTGGATTTCATCTTCGACCTGTGAACGCCATTTCAACTCTGGAAATAAAGGAAATACTTCTCCCGATTTCTTTAGTCTTCTCTCTGCAGTTTGATAACATTTCCAGGGTTGTGGTTCTACAACAAATAATTTGGCCAACGAAGACAATTTGCGTAGAAATTCCTGCAAACCACTGTCATGATGATTCAAATGTATCCACATGGTTATGGAAAAACAACAAACTGCATCGAAATGCGATCGTTGATGTTTCGCCAAATAATCGTTGATTTTTTCGAAAGCTTCATTGTCCATAACGTCAACACACTCAAATGTTATTGCGTCACAATTGTTTTCGGCTTTAGCTCTTTTAATTAGGGCATCGTCAATATCTACTCCATATATGAGAATGTCACGTTGAGGTAGTAATTTGCTAAGATAATCACGTAAAAGTTGTGTGAAAACACCAGAATTGCAGCCTACATCTAGAACAAGATAGGGCACGTTGGGTGCGTTATCGTCAGTGGTCCATTGGTCTGCAGGCAACAGTTTGAGACGTTCTTCTGCGGAATTAAATTGATAATAATTGATGAAGTTTCCATATTGCACAGCTCCAGGATCTGTTTTGTTTTAGAAAATACAAAAAAAGTTGATACATTTTAAAAATAATTAAAATTGTATATAAATTGTATTAATTGTTCGGCTACATTTGGTCTCTAATTAGACCCTACACCCCATAGTGGAAAAGGTATTATGTCTTTGTGCATTTGTTTGTAACAGGGAGAAGGAAGCGAGATAGACCTATAGTTACTTTTGAGGATCTTCATAGAATCACTTTCTGAGTAGATTTATGCATGTCAGTCCGTCCATCCGTATGGATATACGGACCAAAATGCAGGTCGCATTTAGTATCTGGTTGAGATGAAATTTTCCAAACAATATTTTTTTCGGTCCAAGGACGAACCCTATTGAAATTGGTGAGAATCATTTCAAATTTGGATATAGCTCCCATATATATTCAACCGATTTCGGATTAATATTTGTCCAAATGACCTGAATTTTGGCACATCCGACCAAATTCAGTCTAGAAACAAGTAAATCTAATTTATTGAAAATCGGTTCAGATATTGCTATAGCTCTTATATATATGTTTCATCCGATTTGGTATTCGTAATATGCACTCCACAAGAATGATATTCGATACCGGCCATCAGATAATGCCAAATTTTATCAAGATCGGTTCGATCGAAACCCGCGTCACAGTGGCCGTAAAATGGCTCGTGCGCTGAACATATCGCAATATTCTATTCGGCAGATATTGAAAAATGAGTTCGCGGTAAAGCCATTGAAATTCCAAAAAGTTTAAGAACTTACAACGCAACAGAAAAAAAAATAGACTCAAAAGAGCTAAAGAGTTGCTTCGCTTGGCCAAAAGTGGTGAACTGTCGAATTAAGTTTTCTCCGATGAGAAAACATTCGTTGTCTAGCAGTTTGTAAACAAACCAAAGGATCGTGTTTACTTGCCAAAGAGGTCAGCTGAAAATGTGCACCTTCGCTTGGCCACCAGAACTCAACCGCCGGCCATGGTGATGGTGTGGGCCGTCATAACAGCCGATGGTCGTTCTCCGCTCGTATTAATCGACCGTGGCATCAGAATAAATGCCGAATATTATCGCGAAAATATTGTGGAGGGTGTATTAAAGCCTTGAGCACACAAACATTTTGGCCGCAGACCTTGGGCATTCCAACAGGACTCAGCAACATCGCACTCAGCACGCGCCACCCAAGAATGGTTACAAAATGAGGTTCCTCCTTCATTTCCAGCGCACAATGGCCACCAAAATCTCCGGATACCAATTCGTTGGACTATTGTGTCTGGAGTATTTTGGAAAGCAAGGTTGGCACTAAAAAATACCAAAGTGTCGATCAACTCAAGCAAGCGCTTTGCCGGGAATGGGTCAAAATACCGCAGAGCAACATTCGGGCAGCGTGTGACGGTTTCATTGGCCGAATTAAGGCCATAATTCGTGCCAAAGGTGACCAAGTCGAACAAATCTAAACGTATTCTAAAATTTGATGCTATTTCCGACATTTTTTGCTTTCGTTCAATATAATTTAAAAAATGTAAAAATTATTGCGTTTGACTTTGATGCAGTTTTTTATCTCACCCTGTCTGTAATACCAGCCAAAATTGAATAGATTGTTTATATTCAACGGAATTGTACCATTTGGTGAAATTCGGTCCGGTATATCCATTGCTCCAATAAATATTTTATAATATAATCCTTATCGAAGTCATATCATGCACTAGACAACAATGTTATTTGGTTCATAGTTGGTATGATCTACTTTACATAAAGTCCTAAAATAAACTTTTTTGTTACAGGAGCTCTGCTAAGTACGCATAGTGGTGTAGTGTATCATATAGTCGGCCCCGCACGACCTTTGACCTTTCCTTACTGGTTTTAAATTATGGAATATACATTGGATCAAGGCTAGGCAAAGAGTATCCCTTGGGATATCTGTGTGTTCACCAACACAATTGTAAAAAATAAATTGTTTTGAATTTTCTGTCAAAATGGTTTTGGGAGAATATTTAGTTTTGTTCGAGCAGTCGTTGAGGAAGGTGCTGTCGGATATTTTTATGAATACATCGTAAGAAATATTGGAGCACAAATATATCTTACTACATATTTGGAACAAATATTTCCGAATTTGTAAAAATTATAAATTTTAAGATTTTTCTTTTTTTAATTGAATTTTATTTGACGAAATTTACATACGAATTCAGGAATAGGGATTTATTTCATATTGTTAGACACATTTATTGTCCTTCCAAATTAATGGACATTTTCATATCCCTTGATTTCTCTGAAATTATATGTACGTTCTTAGTCAATATTAGGGAAAATAACAGGATGTGATGTTTGTCATTCTGTTTGTAATTCATAGACATAATATTTTAGGACCCAACGCAGGATATGCGTTTCTGATCAGCATACAATTCTACAACTATTTGCGTATGTCAGCCTGTGGTAATCGGTATTAATTTTTAAAGGATCAACTTAGATGGTTAGGATGTTAAGTCCGAAATTATTATTTGTGTTTAATATTTTTTTTAAATAAAAATTATATAAAATTTTATTTTATATATTTTTTTATTTTAAAATGAAACATAATTGAAATAACTGTGCAAATATATCTCCGAATTGTCTGATCAAAATAATAATTTTTAATAACGAAGTTGTTTTTAAAACGGAAAAATTATAAATTGAAAATATAAAGATAACAAATTATTTCTCACTGTGTAAAGAGAGGCAAAAAACACTTGCAATATTTTGTTATTTCAAAACACATACAATCACAAAAAATTTTTGAGGCTCTCTGCCTAGCCCTGCATTGGATACATAGTCTGGCTAAGCAATTCGTATGGATTTTGTAACTTGAGTCTGGATCAGTTGGCTTTGAAATATAATTTAAATAAACTTATTTCATTTGAAAAAATCCTTAAGTTATTTTGCAGAAAACAGAAAGTTAATCAAATTCATTGTGATTTGGATCATATACGCCGAGCAGATAAAAGACCGCAAGTATTGAATAAGAAGATGTTGTGTCTAGCAAACGGAAGAAGAAAATATCACACAAAAGGCAATGCTATTGAGGACAGAGTATTTTTAGCGGCGTTGCTAAATTCCTTCCTTTTAAGACCGCATGAAGAAACCCCTGCCTTTAAAAGTAATCTGCGAGTAATTTTGTAAAAATATTTGCTTTGGAAGAAATTGATTTTTAAGGCCATGGCTCAGAAAAAGATCTAACCAATATAATTTCAGGGTTTTTCCGATACAGAAACTGGACATTGTTCAAATACCATACAAAATCTATTCATTAAACATATATATGGAGTAATTCATAAATTTAACTGATCATGCAGCAGGTATGGACCGAAAGAAGTAGATAATCGCTTCAGACCTCATAATAGTAGAACTGGTAAGACTTCAAAATTTAACGATTTCTAAGAGTTCCGATCGGAATATCTATATCAGATACGTGTTCACAAATGTTTAAGAAATGTTTTTGGTTTATGATTCTATACTAGTCGTTTATAAAACAGGTGGGGCAAAAGTAATCCTCCTATCAGAAAATGCTATAAATTTTTCGATTGGCCCCTAATGTATATATATATATATATATATACATAGCAAGTTGTAAAGATAAAAGTTTTGAAAATTGTGCTCATTTGTGGGTGGGGTACCAGAAGGGGTTCGCAGATATATGTCATTTTAATAACAGATCTTTTGTTAACAAAAATGTTTGTATGTGTAAAATTTTTAAAATATTGAACGCTATGTGGGAAGGTACCAGAAGAAATCGTCCGATCTTTACCATCTTTATAATAGATCTTGCGATGTACCAAGTCTGAATGGAATCGGAGGTTCATTTCGCGTCTCATGAGCTTCATGGATATTAAAAATGTTGATCCTTTGTGGGGGAGGTACCAGAAGGAGCGGACCGATATATTCCATATTAACACCAGATCTTGGGTTGATAAAAATATTGGGATGTGTGAAATTTGAAGACAATCGGACTCTTACATCACATTTTATAAGAGTTGTAATTATTCAAAATTTTGACCGTTTGTGGGGGAGGTACTTGATGGGGTGGACCGATATTGCCAATTTTCGCACCTGACGATGAGGCACGTTTTGGGCGTATCAAATGATATATACCCCCTGTAGCCATATGGCTGAGAGTATAAATATATATCGGAGCCGAAGGTATTTTTGAGCTCTATAAGATATCTGGTACCAAATATCATTGTTGTTGAATGCATATTACGAATGTGGGGGACTTAAACACCAAATCGGATGAAACATATATATGAGAGCTATATCTGAACCTATTTGAACCAAATTTGATGTACTTGCTTCTAGGTTGAATTCGGTTGGATATGCCAAAATTCAGGACATTTGGACCTGAATTTTATTCAGCGAATTTTTCATAGAATCTTAAACTTTTTAATATTTGGTTAGCTCTTTATAAGCATTTCACCGATACTAATATTGTCTTGGCAGAAATATCTTAGCTGAGGCACAGTGGGTGTTGAAATTATCCTGACACGTAGAATTCTACAAAATTCGTCGTATTTACCGACATCTACAACTAAAAATAGTTTAATGCTAAAAATAGTTTATTATGTTCTACTTTCTGAAAATCGTATTTATTCAATGAAAGCCAAGTAGGTATTCTCTACGTGGGGAAGCAAACAGCAAAAATTGATAAGCTCTCTTTTATATTTTCAAAACAGATATGTACAAGAAAGTTTTACTTTATTAGAATTATGCTGCACAGTTTTTATCATGTCCATAAGAGAACGTAATCGGATAAGGTGATGTTATAATCTGAAGTAGTAAAACTTCTTACTTCCCGACATATAGGGCTCAAAAGCTCAGAGTAAAGCCTCTTTTTATATTTATTCATTGAACATGTCTACGTTTTTATAAAATTAATATTTTAAGAAGCCTAAATTCGGGAGACTTTTATTCTGCTTATGTCCAACACAATCTACGAGACGCAGTTTTTTGTTTTAAATTTATTACTTAAGTGGCCAGCATTTGGCGGAGCTTGCGAATTATCCTCTTGGTATGTCTAACATTGGCTATATATAGGTCTACGTTTTCCTATAGCGCACATAATTATACCCTCCCCCTTGGAAAGGAGGGTATATTAACTTTGTCATTCCGTTTGTAACATCCTTAAATATTCGTCTTAGACCCCATAAAGTATATATATTCATAATCAGCATAAAATTCTAAGTCGATTTAACGATGTCCGTCTGTCTGTCTGTCTGTCCGTCTGTCTGTCTGTTGAAATCACGATACAGCCCACATTATTTGACGTAGAGCTCCAAAATTTAGCAGAGCTATTTGCATTGTGTCTAGGATGGTTGGTATTGAAAATGAGATATATCTTCTGGTATAGTCCCCATATAACGGTTCCTCCCGATATTCGGTATTTTGATGATTTATGCCACGTTTTTTCACGGATTTGCCTTAAAATTGGTATTTGTAGGTCATAGCAGGTCCCTGAGCGTGTGGCAAAACATTGCATGTATGGGTCCAAAATTTGGTATAGCCCCCATATAACGGTACCTCCCGATATTCGGTAATTTGATGATTTTTGCAACATTTTTTCACGGATTTGTCTGAAAATCGGTATTTGTTGGTCATAATGGGTTCCAGCTCCGGTGGCGAAACATTGCATGTATGGGTCCATGATTTGGTATAGCCCTCATATAACGGTACCTCCCGGTATTTTGGTGGTTTTTGCCACATTTTTTCACTGATTTGCCTAAAAATTGGTATTTGTGGGTCATAATGAGTCCTAGTTCGTGTGGCGAAACATTGTAATTATAGGTCCACGTTTTGGTATAGCCCCCATATAACGGGACCTCCCGATATTCGGTAATTTGATGATTTTTGCCACATTTTTTTCACGGATTTGTCTGAAATGTGGTATTTGTTGGTCATAATTGGTTCCAGCTTCGGTGGCGAAACATTGCATGCATGGGTCCATTATTTGATATAGCCCCCATATAAAGGTACCTCCTGATATTCGGTATTTTGATGGTTTTTGCCACATTTTTTCACTGATTTGTCTAAAAATTGGTATTTGTGGGCCATAATGGGTCCTAGTTCGTGTGGCGAAACATTGTAATTATAGGTCCACGTTTTGGTGTAGCCCCCATATTACGGTACCTCCCCATAATCGGCATTTTAATGGTTTTTGCCACATTTCTTCTAATGTTTATTTTACCCTAAGGTGGAGGGTATTAAAAGTTTGGCCCGGCCGAACTTAATGTTTTTTTACTTGTTTTAGCCTCAAATTGGTATTGAGTGTTTGTAACAACCCAACATACCAAAAATACAATACAGCTTGAGAACAATATTATAAAAATATAATTTTTCAACAATGCTTGAGAAACACTTATGTTCCACAAACATTTCTCAAGTCTGTCCCTTGTTGACAAATTAGTTTTGATTTTTTGTGAAAATTGTCAGCAAGAAATTATTTTCTTTGGCAAAAAACAAAATCACGCGAATTTAGGACCCATTTGTGGACCGAACCCTTAAGGTATGGATGAATAATAAATCCGGGAATCTTTCACATAAATTATTCCAATCCCATTTCAGATTGGAAGCATCAAAAAAGTTGCAGGAATTCAATAAATGTGTAGTCTTAGTGGAAGAGATGCAGAAGTTCAAATAAGGGAGAAGAAAGCGTCAGGGTATCAAGGCCACATGCGGCAGTGACTACTGGGATGTCCATCAAGAAAAAACGTTAAAAATGATTAAAAACTAAAAAAAAATAATATTTTATACTATTACAAAAATAAGCTTATTATAATATTATTTTTGTAAGCTTATTCTACAATTTCAAGTATAAGCTTATAAATAAGGGTTCAGTTTCGATTATTCTATACTTGTTATACAAACATTTTTCAATGTTTTCTCAAGATTTTCTCAAGCTTAAGGCTTATGTTCATAAGCTTATTGTAATATTATTCTCAAGCCATTTTGGTATGTTGGGAAGTTCTGCCTTCTGCACCCATACAACGGTATCATTGGATGTTTGGTTTTTGACGGTTTAAGCCCCATTTTTGCATGGAATCGTTCCAAATTGGGTATTTATAGTTCATAATGGGTTCTACGACAGGTGCCAAAACATTGTCCACATTCCTTAAAGGTTTTCATATAACGGTACCCACAGATATTCGGAATTTTGATGGTCCTAGCCTTGACCTTTAACAGCAAACACTGAACTTGTCAGGAATCCACAAATATTTCATATTTTCCCTACCTTTATTTCGAAATTCCATAGCTTTCCTAAAAATGCACGTTTTGTTTAGAATGACGATGGAATGACAGAAATATGAATAGAGTTCAACAGATCGAAAACGAATCCGAATTGATGAGGGATCTAGAAATCGACTTTTCTGGAATGATTGCTCTGAGCAAAACAATGTTTAATTTTTTTTACGAAAATTACAAACGTGGTTTGTATTTTTCGTAAAAATAATACAATTAATGAAAATACGAATTTTATGAAAAAATTCGCAATTTTAACATGGATACTTCCAAAAATTAATATTTTACAGATATGCTATGCTTCGTTGTTGAACTGTAATGCTGCCATATTGTTGCGACATAGCTATGAGATTATTGTTGTTGCCTGTACTACTATAACACCAAATGTAAGGAAATTCTTAAGAGGTTGTTGTATGAGCTACAAACATACAGGGCGATAACAAGTAAACATAAAATTTGTTCTCAGTTTGATAAATAGATGGCAGAATAATGTTTTTAGAATTAATCATCAATTCTGAGCTGGTAGAAAATCCCAATAAATGTTGTCGTTAATTGCCTGAGACCTCAACATTGTCTATATTTGAGATGAAAGTAAAATCCTATATCGGTATCCAATTAAGATTGGAACAGACAATACATTATTAATGTTCATCTTTGAAATTTGCTACATGAATTTGTATAACGTCTAGAATGTTTGGTATTCATGTGAATGAATGAATATTTTGCGTGTTACCACATTTCCTTTGATATTCAGCTTTTTGTGTATTTTTTTAAAGTTTCGTATTTCAATATTGTAATGGCTTATGACAAAAGTTGCCAATGCAAGTCCACGTCTTCGTATAGGGCCCAAATTAACGGCTATATTCAGTATTTTTAAGATTTTAACAGAATTTTTGGAGAATGTTATTATTTTTTTTTTTGAAAATTTCCATATTCCTTCCAAATGGTGGGGGGTATTAAAAGTTCTGTCCGGGCCGGACTTACTGCTTTTTTACTTGTTTTTGGTGACATTGATGCAAATGAAATACAGATATCTTTGCGTTAATGACTTATAGTGAAATTTGATGATGAATGATGGTTTATAGAAGAATTTTGCATTAACACACATGACTGAAAACATGACTATGGCTTTAACACTTAAATGTGTTTTCATACCTTACACCACATAGTGGTAAGGGTATAATGTCTGTGCATTGGTTTGTAACACTTATGAGTATGTCCGTCCCTGTATTTTTGTGAACAAGATGCTGGTCGCGATTATTATCCGATTGAGATGAAATTTTCAAACAAAATTAGTTTGGCCCAAGGACGAACCCTATTGAAATTTGTGAGGATCGGTTTAAATTTTAGATATAGCTCCCATATATATCTTTATCCGATATCAGGGTTATTGTGCACCAAATGGCAATCCAAATTAACTGTATCTTGGCAGTTCCGACTGAATTTATCCTAGAAACAAGTACTTCAAATTTGTTGAAAATCGGTTCTGATATAACTATAGCTCCCATATAAAGTTTCCTTCGATTTGAGGTATTAAGTCCCTCACATGCGTAATATGATCTTTGGTACCAGATATCAGTTACAGCTCAGAAATTAGTGTCTAAAATTTTGTTAAGATCGTCTCAAAGTTCATCCGATTTTACGGTTATTGCCCACCATATATGTAATATTAGCCCAATTTGGGATAGATTTTTTTCATATTCTGCCGATTTTTTCATATTCTGCAGTTTTCCATTTGAAAGCAATAGATATTCTCCAATAAATATTTTTAATATGATTTTTATTGAAGTCATATCACTAAACAGCAATTTTATTTGGTACTAGAGGTACAAAAGCCTCCGTTAACTTTGTTAAAAATCGATTCAGTGTTGTATATAGGTCCCAAGTTGTGACTACTACTATGATACGCCTTTAAATAAGGTTGGTATGATCTATTGCACATATATTTTTTACGGGAGCTCTACTAAATACGCATGGTGGTGTAGGGTATTATACAGTCGGCCCCGCTCGACCTTTCCTTACTGGTTAATATATAGAAATTCCTGGCATTTGGTAAGCTTTAGTTTTCTGGGTGTTTGATGTTTATGACAAATAAATTTGTAAAATATTTTGACTTGCTAAGATCCCATGAACATGGAGTTTTTAACCATGTTTTGAAAAAAAGGATCAAATATTGCCGAAGACACCATATACCTAAAATGCAAGAATCTTAATTCAAAAATTTCCAAAAATGTGGGAGGGAAGGTGACTTGCCCTCTCTATATAGGTTACTTTGTCTTGCAGTTTTAGCTCTGCTTTAATAATCTGCTAGATTTTTCCTGTAATTATTGAAAAAAAAATAATTTTGTCTCCCAATGATACTTAAAAGTTTTTGAGTTTTTCTCATGACATAAAAAGCACTGCAAATTAGAAATGTGTACAACTTTCGCTTCTTTTGTAACAAATCGTTTTTTACATTTATTTGTTTAATATTTCCTTAGAGATAGGTACATTTTCTTTTCGATTACAAATGTTAACATTTATTTCATAAACATAAATAGTTCCCAATCTTTGGTTTATTAGCTGTGTCTTCTTTATTAACTTCTTCTTTCTATTTAAGAACTTATAATTTACTCTAATAAATGTCTCATCAATGTATGACCAAAAAATATATATAATTACAAACAGGCAGACAGACCGACATACAGACAGACAGACAAGGTAATGTTAACGGCGAGGCAATCAGTGATATTCATAATAATAACGATATGGATCTACAACGGGAGTCTCGCCCACACCTGCAGGAATGCCGGCAGTTTTGGGTACGGGACGTATGACATAGGTGTTGCGTCTGCAAAAAACGATAAGAAAAATAATTAATTAATTAAAGCAGGAAATTAATTCGAATATTTTTTAGCAGACTTACCTATTGTGATCACCGGCATGAACCTGAAAACTGGTCTCCTCATGCCCGTCATGTGAGAAGAGTTTCTTCAGGGCAATAATACTGGCAATGGTCAAGGCAACCTTACTAATAACCAAAGCCTTGCCTGCTATGGCGGCCAAAGCTTTAAGGCCAATTGGTCCGGCTATTCCCATGGCTGTAAGTAAGGCTGCAATGACATATTTAACATGGCCACCTTCTTCCTTTTTCTTTTCCTTATGTTTGTCATCTCCCCCGCCGCCGTAACGGGCCACACTCATATCGACCTTAAGCGAATGGGTGCGCACAAGTTTATCAATTTTCGACAATAGAGCTCGATCCAAGGGCCCTAGGCTATTTAACGACCTGGCATCGGCCAACATACCAATAATACTCTGTTTTTCGGTTTGATTTTGTTTCTCCAAAACAACACCATCGAATATCTTAATGGAATCCTGTTCTATGGCCCGACCAAGACCATTTAAGGCCTTCTGCTTCAGGCAATTCATAAAATCATCTTTGGCTTGGCAGTCATCATAGACACGTCGTATAATTTGAAATTCAGGACCCAGCCAGGATGTGGGTGTGTTGTGAGCTCCAGTGCTGCTGCTTTTGGAGGCCGGTATGGCATTGGTCTTGAGCGAAGATGCCGTAGTGGTCCGGCCAGCAGTTCTGTGTGTCCTTTGATGTCCTTCAATGCCATGGATATTTGTGACCACACAATAGGCCAGGAATAGTAATCCTGTTAGCTTTCTATTGCTAGACATTTCGGGATATTTCAATTTTTTTTAATCCACTATAAAAATTTGTTTCGTATCGCTTCGTTCGTTCGTCGATCTTATAACAGATCTTAAAAATAAATTTTTTCGTTTTGCCAAATCCTTTCACTTTCACACTTTCTAGGATATGGGGATTGCAATAATTTTTTAATTGTTTCCTTTTTTTGGTTCTTTTGCTATTTTTATCTCGTGTCTCTCACCACCACTCAACTGTTTTCTAAATGCAACTGCAATTGGATTTTCCGATGATACCGGCTTTTATAAATTAAGCAGCATTTTCTCCTCTCTAGCATTGCTGCTGCTAATCACTGATATGGAAAATGTTAGCGTGTTTCTTAAGCATCTTTTAGGTATTTTGGCTGGCTGACTGCCTGCCTGGATTGGCGAATAAAATAAATAAAAAAAATTTACAAAAAGAAAACAAACGAAAACAAATTTTCGTGCTATACATATTTTCTATTTCTTCATAATTTTCCATCGAACAATCAGCGTTTAATGTTTCTCCAGAGCGTCTAATGTTTCATAGATGTTTAATTAGTTTTTATTTATTCACCCTAGCGGCATGTTGTCTGGGTTGTCCAAACTTAAGAGAAGGGATGGGAGGGAACATTTGTATTACGATGTATAAAATATCTCATGTAAGGTCAGAGAGCATTGCTTGGTTTAAGAGAAGCACTATCTCTCTCATTCTTTATTTCTCTCTCTCTCTATTTTAATGAGCTAAATGAGAAAGGGAGGGAGTAGAATAAATTGATTATAATTATATCTGGAAGGAATGGAAATTCCAGTACAATGGTACTATTTTCAACACATTCAAGAAAGTACCGAATGAATTATGTGTCATTTCGTAAAACTGATGCATACCTCCGAAAAACACGTTGGAGTTTGAATAAATAGTAAAACTAGCTTGAATTGGAGCAGGAGCACTCTAAGGATTAACATGGAAAAAAGCAGTGAGCTCGGCGGGCCGAACTTTGAATGCCCTCCAACATTTGGAAGGAATTTTGAAATTTTAAAAAATAATAATAAATAAATAAATAAATTCCTTTACAAATCTTTAAAAATACCGAATATACCCGTTATATTGGGGTCTATTTTTTGTCATAAGCCATTACAATATTTGAATACAAAACTTGAAAAAAATCCGCTGAATAATGTAGCTAAAATCATCAAAATGCCGAATATGGGGAGGTACCTTTTTATCAGGGCTATTCGAAGGCCTGGACCTGCATAGGCAAATTTCTGTCACAGGCTGTAGTACCTATCAGAAACTTCAAATACGGAATTTCAAACAATTTTGGTGAATATTGTACCTAAAATCGTCAAAATACCGAATATAGGGAGGTTCTGATATATGGGGCCTATATAAAAACCTGGACGTGCATAGACAATTTTCTGTCATAGACTGTAGTTCCTATTACGAATTCTGAATACGAAATTTGTAACAACTCCGGTGACTAATGTCGTCAAAATCATCGAAATACCGAATGTTGCGTGGTACGTATATACCCTGGTGGCCAAAACTAAAGCAACTTAAATCGCAAAGACAATAAATGTCCTGTAACTTTTACAAAAATAAACAAATCGTAATTATTTTTCCAGTTTTAAATGAGGGATTTAATTCACTTTTAAGAAACTAAAAATAAAAATACAAAAATAATTTTGAACGAAAAATAATATGTGGAAAGCTAAAATGACCCAATTTTTGCTTGGTCAAAACTAAAGCAACTTTTGGTTTTATTTTAAAATAATTAAATTTTGGCTAGTAGTCGATAGCATAACCACTATTTTTGATAGCAGCTGCACACCTACGAGGCATTGAATCTATAACACGCTAAATTTGATCCTTGGGTGTGCTTTCCCAGGCACCCCGAATTCTTTAGAAAATGTTGTGCTTATTTATTTCCGAATCTCTCTAGATCTTCCTATCTACGATACTCCAAAGGTTTTCTAAGGAGTTTAGGTCAGGTGTTTGTGCCGGCCATAACAAAACATGAATTTTTGACTCCCGCAACCAATATTTGACAAGTTTTGATACAAGTTTGGGATCATTGTCATGCTGAAACACCCAAATCAGCCGAATATTTCACTCAGCGTAAGGGAACAACGCGATGTCTAACACATCTTTGTAAGCAAACCGTTCCACAACTTCCTTTATTTCATGGATAGGCCCAAGCCCATAGGAAGAAAAACAGCGCCACGCCATTTTTGACCCTCCCTCATGCTTCACTGTACTGCGGCTTGAGTCCTTCTTTTTTTTTGTCTTCTCACCGTAAAATTTTTCACGTCTGATCTTTTAATATTAAACGTAGAAATAATGGTTTTTCCATTGAGCTTGATTCCACTTAATATTATCGTTTTCGAAAGCCTTTTTGATTTTTTCAGATATGAATGGTTTTTTGATGTCTTACGGGCATCCAGAACAGCTGCCACTACTCGTCTACGCATTGATCTCGAGCTTATATCCAATGATTGCTCTCTCACCAATCCAGTTGAACTCTTAAATAGTTGTTTTTAATTTCTCTCACAATTTGTGGATCAGTACGGGCTGAAGTTTTTCACGGCCTTCATCCGTTATAGACTGTTACTACTGATCCAATTTCAAAAAACCTAATTAGTATACAGAAATAATTATGAAATCACATAAATATTTATGAAATATTTCTCGTAAATCATTTTCTGTGATATGTTGTTTCTATATAGTAACTGATGAATTGCTGTTTTATTCAGGTACTGTATTTGCTTTTAGCCATTTTTAAAATTTTTTTGGGCAGTACTTAAAAAACGAAAAGAAAAACACATACTGTTGTAAAAAACTTCTCAAAAAGGATTTATGACAAGCGAAATTGCCGAAGGAAGCAAAAAGCGATAAATATCACAGTAAAAACAACTGGAATCGCAGCGGTTATATGAGTGGACAACAGAGTTGCTTTTGTTTTGTCCAAGCCAAAATCGGGTTAATTGATTTTACCAAACATTATTTTTTATATAAAAATGAATTTTGGTTTTATGTTTTAGGTTTTTAAAAAGTGAATAAAGTACCTAATTTAAAACAAGAAAACTTTCTCATTTTCTTAATATTTGAAAAAGTTACAGGGCATTTATTCTCCTTGTAATTGCAGTTGCTTTAGTTTTGGCCACCAGTGTATATGCAATTTTTTGTCATAGGCTGTAGTATCCATTACGAATTCTAAATACGAAATTTGAAATAACTCCGGTGAATCGTCAAAATATCGAATATCGGAAGGTACCGTTATATGGGGATATATCGGTATCGTGGACCTATATAGACAATTCTCTTGCGAGAGGTAAAGTACTCAGAAGGAACTCCTTGTGTGGATTTGGAGACAATTCCATCAAAAAATGTGGCTTAAATCATCAAAATACCGAATATCGGAAGGTATCGTTAAATGGGGTATCGAAACTTCACCTGCCTGCACACAAATTACTAATCTGTGCAAATTTGTGCAAAATTTTAGCTTCCTATCTTAATTTGTTTTGACTCTAGCGTGATTACAACGGACGGACAGGTCTAAATCGCCTTAGAATTTTACGCTAATCAAGAAGTTTTATACTTTGTTAGGTCTAAAATTATTATTTCGTTGAGTTATAAACGGAATGACGAACTTAATATACCCTCCATACTATGTAGGGTGGAGGGTATTAAAAAAGTTTTAACTTGCAGTATATAAATTTCGAATTTAATTTCCTAAAAACTATTGTACCTATGTGTATGGTTTATTTCGAGATTTTCGGTGAAATTTTATGTAGAATATTTCATATCTTAATACTTTCCATCTAAAATAAATTATGTAACTTTCAGGGGTAAACTCGGAAAAGGTCGAGAAAAATTGACTTAAAAGTTTTTTTTTGTTTTTTTGGAACATTGTTTGAAATATTTACAGCCTACATCACATAGTGCTAAGGGTATTATGACTTTGGGCATATGTTTGTAACATGGAGAAGGAAGCGAGATAGACCCATACTTACTTTAGAGGATCTTCATAGAATCACTTTCAAAGTCGATTTTTGCATGTCAGTCCGCCGTCTGTCCATGTATTCTTGTGAACAAAATGCAGGTCGCATTTATTATCCGATTGAGATGAAATCTTGCAAACAATATTTATTTGGCCCAAGGACGAACTCTATTGGAGTTGGTGATAATCAGATCAGATTTATATGTAGCTCCCATATATCTTCAACCGATGTCGGGTTAATTGTGCACCAAATGGCTAATATAAGTCCAAATGACCTGAATTTTGGCATATGCAACCGAATTCAGTATAGAAGTAAGTGCATCAAATTTGAAATCGGTTAAGATATACCTATAGCCCCCATATATATCTTCAACCGATTTCGGGTTAATTGTGCACCAAATAGACAATATCTGTCAAAAAATCCGACCGAATTCAGTCAGAAGCAAGTACATCAAATTTGGAGAAAATTGGTTCACATATAGCTATAGCTCGCTTATATACGTTTCATCCGATTTGGTTTTAAGTCCCTCACATTCGACAACAATGATATTTGGTACCAGATATCTTATAGAGCTCGGAAATACCTTTGCCAAATTTTATTGAGATCGGCTAAGATTTGGATATAGCTCCCATATATATCCTTAATCCGATTTGAGGTTTATTGTGCAAATAACAGATGATATCAGCCCAAATGGAGTGAATTTCGGGACGTACGATTCTATATTTTGCAACTCGGCTCCGATACATATTTTTATACCCTCCACCATACTATGGAGGGTATATTAATTTTGTCATTCCGTTTGTAACTCCTCGAAATACTCATGTCAGACCCAACAAAGTATATATATTCTTGATCAGCGTAAAATTCTAAGACGATTTAGCCATGTCCGTCTGTCTGTCTGTGTGTCTGTCTGTCTGTCTGTCTTTCTGTTGCAATCACGCTATCTTTCGAACGAATTGAGATAGAAGGCTAAAATTTTGCACACATATTTATTTTTCCAGTAGGCAGGTTAAGTTATTAAATGGGCCATGTAAGTCCACGTCTTCGTATAGCCCGCATATAACGGTACCTCCCGATATTCGGTATTTTGT